AAAAAAAAAAAAGAGTTACTGCTGATAAGTATTCCTGTCATTGCCTTATTTTTCTGTTGCTGATTCCCTGTCTTTCTTCTGCTTAGCTGCTCACCCTACCTGGTATATTCATTCTGTTAGACTTTATGTCTTTGTTCTACCTGGTATGTTCATTCTATTAGACTTTATGACATTGTTAGCTTCATTGTCTCGTTCAGGATTATTCTTGAGAATTCTTAGAAGTGCTAGGTACTTTTTATCATGAAAGTATCTGATTTCTCCATCAATTTTGAAAGATAGTTTTGCAGGATATGTCAGCCTGGGTTGGAATGTTTTGTGTTTTTTTTGTTATTTTTTTTTTAGGACTTGAAACACTTCACTCCAAGCTTTCCTGGCCTTTAACACTTGTGTTGAGCAATCTGCTATAATATTAATGAATTTTTCTTTATAAGTGACTCATTGCGTTTCTCTAACCACTTTTTAAATTCCATATTTGTGTTGGATCCCTATAATGTGCCATGGAGAGGGTTTTTTTTTCCCCCTGATTATGACTATTTGGCCTTCTTGCTTTTAAAACAGAACTGTCTTAAGTATTTCCTTTCTGTGAAGGTGCTCCATTTTAATGGAGCTGGAAGTCCATGTTTGTCTTTTATCTGGCAGCTTTTACTAGATTATTGGCTCTAGTAGTTTTTCATTGGATTGTATTGAATTGCTTGCTACATGTAGTCATATCTTCTGCAAAATGAGTTTTATTCCTTCCTTTCTTGTGTATGTACCTTTTTATCTGTCTCATTGCAGGCAAATAAAACTGAGTCTGGTTTTGCATTTTTCAATATCATTGATGGCCAGGCATGGTGGTGTATGCCTGTAATCCCAGTATTTGGAAAGCTGAGGCAGGAGGATCACCATGAGTTTGAGGCCAGCTTGATCTACATAGCAAGACCCTGTCTCAAAAACATAAGGTGTATCTTTTCTGTATATCTATCTATGTTTGCTTATCTGTTTTTATCTCCTGCTCTTCCCGCTTCCTTTACTCTAGCCATCATGACTCTTTGCTTTTTCTTCACAGCAAGCATGTCCCCTCTCAACTTTTGCAATTGTTATCCCTCTGCCTGAAATGCTTCTGCATCCCACCCCAATATTCCCGGGGCTTACTCCTTCACCTTCTGAAAGTTTGTCACTCAAATGTTATCTCAGTAATATCATCCTTTACCACTCCCAAAGTTATAATCCATTCTGACATCGAGTTCTCCTGTTTATTCTCTACTTGATTTTTTTCATAGCACTTACTATCTGGCATATCTTTTAACTGGTTTAGTCTGTTTCTCTTTATTAGAATGAAGGCAGATGCCTTCCCTTTTGAATTTTTTGACTTGTTTTATTTCATTGCCCAGAACACCCTGAGACATGCAAATACATAATAAGCACTTATTTAAATCTCTAATCTTTATGTATTTTAACATTTTTCTCCTTCAAATTAGGGTCCTGGCCAAAGGAATGATTTTATATATATATATATATATATCTATCTATCTATCTATATATATATATATATAGATAGATAGATAGATATATATATATATATATTCGTTCGTTCTTTATACATTTCGCCTGTAACTTTTTGGAGACTTTCTGGAGGTTTTTTGTGTTTAGTTTGAACCAGGTAATACTTTTCATATGGTACAAAAGTGTTTGTGTTCAAAAGTATTCCTTCCTAGGCTGGGGATTTAGCTCAGTGGTTCCGCTGCCTGCCTTGCAAGCATAAGGTCCTGAGTTTGATCCCCGGTACTATTTAAAAAAAAGAAAAAAAAAAAAGTATTCTTTCCATTCTCATGATACGCACCCCATTCATGCTCAGATGCAGGGAGATTTGTCAGTTTTTTAATTTTCCCTTCAGAAATGTTCCCGTATGGCTTCCTAAAAAGTTGATACCAAATTATAATATAGGACAAAGTATTTTATACTTGCATCTGTCCAGAACAGTTCCCATTTCCTTTTCTGTGTACTGCTGAACTCTCATCGAGAGCCAGTATAACTATTTTTAGTGAATATTTACTGTTTTTTAACTGCTGAGGGAGTGATAGAATAAAATACTATTTTTCCTGTGGCCTTGAATTTTAAAATCTAGGTGGATTGAGAAAGTATCCATACTTAGAAAGTAATGCTGCTTTAAAAAGATCAAAATGATGTATATGAAGTGCTATATGATTGTCTGGTATAGATAACAAATACTATGAAAATTATCAAAGCAGAAAGTAAGTACATTTATCAGGGAAAATTGTGTGTGAAAAGATAACTGCATTGGCTTTGGAGAGTTTAAGAAGAGTTTAGAAGGAAAGGAATGTGTTGTACCTTCTGTATGTTCACCAGCATGATAACGAGGAATACATTTTTGTGCTATGGGATTTACAAAGCTGAATAAGAAAGCCCTTGCTTGTAGAGAAGAGAAAGTTATATAATGTCAGGGAGAGGGGATGCTTTAAAGAAGCATTGTATTAAGCAGGAATTAGGAGAAAAATCAGGTAGTTGGAGAAATGACAAAAAATTTATAAATTTTTTTTGGGAAAGTATGGCAAGCTATTCTTCACAGGTTGTTTTTTGTGAATAGTTTTCAATAGTTTGCTGATCCTTGCAAATAGATAGGTTATAGGTAGGAAACTTACTGATAAACTATTAAAAATATTTAAATGACATTTATTACAGTGGGGAGTGATCAACAATAGAAATGTGGCTAAAGAGAAGTTAGCCTTGAAAGAATACAGTGGAGAGACCATTATAATAGAGAGAAGGTGGAGGCCCATTTTCAGGCTGAATAATATTAGTTCAGTAAGGCACAGAGGTGGCTTATCCTTATTCACATTTTTCTGATCTTTCCTTCACTAGCCAAGAAGGATCAGGAAGGTGGTGAAGAAAAGAAATCTGTACAAAAGAAAAAAGTTAAAGAATTAAAGGTGTTGGATTCAAAGACCGCCCAGAATCTCTGTGAGTAACTCTGTAATCCGAAGTATTTGAAATGTGAAGGAATTCTTCTTAAGAATTTAATTCTGTGAAGACTGGGCGTGGTGGCACACGCCTGTAATCCCAGCACTTGGGAGGCTGAGGCAGGAGGATCGCTGTGAGTTCGAGACCAGCCTGCTACATAGTGAGTTCCAGGTCAGTCTCAACTACATAGTGAGACCCTGTCTCAAAAGCACCCCCCAAAAAAAGAATTTAATTCTGTGGATTCTAACTTCCATTTGTTGAATTCTTGCTCTATATCAGGCATTGGATAGTGAATTTCAGTTTTTTAATCCCTTTGCTTGCACTACAGGATTGGTAAGTATCTAGTTTTAAACCAAGGAAACAGGCTAAGACTTTTAGGAATTTGGCTAGAAATAGAGCTACTAGGGACCAGTCTGGGATTTAAAACTTGGACTTTCTTATTTCAAAGCTTTTGCTCTTTTCATTGCATCTACAGAACAGTGTTCCAGCCTTGATACATTTTTATCTTATTTTCTGGTAACTAAAGCAGGTAGTACTTTGGCTTTAATTAAATCTAAAATTACTTCAAAAAAAAAAATCTAAAATTACTTCTAGAGTAAATCAGGTAAATTTTGCACTCTGAATAGGATCAGCAATTCCAGAAAGTTCTGTTCTGAACTTGCTACCTATACTCAGAACTCTTTCAGATTAGAAATTCCTCTGCAGATTTGATACAGGTAACACACTTCATTGATGGTGAAGATGAATGTTGAGTTTTGTTGTTGTTCATTTCAACTGTTGATCCACTAAATTTATTCTGAGTAATATAATTTAAATTTCTATTCAACAAATATTTGATGGTCTGCTGTGTGGCAAGGTCTAATAGCCTCATACTAAGCATGTGTTCCAGAGATCAAAGGGTACATAATGTGTAAGACTCACTCATAATCTTGGGATGTAGTTAGTGTCCTTACTTTTCCAAATGAGAAAACTAAAGTTCAAATGTTGTGATTTTGCCAAGGACACAAGTATAAGTAAGTATACAAGTATTTGCTAAGTATACATATCCATTAGTGAAGTCAATGATATAAAGAAAGCAGTAAGCAAGACTGGTGTAGTGCATTATTATTCTTAGTGGAGTGATACTGATAGAAAAAAGAGAATTAAGAAATAGAACTGAGATTAGTTCATAGTAAGGTGACCTGGAAGATGAAACAATGCTTAAGTGCCTCATGTGTTTTGGATATGAAGTTGAGTCAGACATGATTCTTGTCCTCTTCAACTATATGTTTAATGGAAATAAAGGTTAATAATAATAACAACAACAACAACACAGATTAAGTGTTGTAACCAGAGGCATGCGAGGATGCTTACAAGAGTCCTAGGAAAGAAGACATCCAAATCAAGTGGGAAGAGGGGAAAGTCCTACAGAACATTCTCATGGAGGTACTTCTTAAACTACCAAGAACTGTTAGGAGGAATTAAATGAGGGTTGGGGATTTAGTTCAGTAGATTTACCTTGCAAGCGCAAGGTCCAGAGTTTGATCACCTTTACCAAAAATAAGGGGAGGGTTATTAAATGAAGAATGAAGGGTGAGGATTGGCTTGTTTCAGGAGAGAGATGAAGGCTCAGAGCTGAGATAGCATTGCGTAGTTCAAGAATTGCAAGTAGTTGGAGAAAGCTGAGTGAAGCCATAGACGTTATTGAAGGGATTTTAATTGGGAAAATATGCCTTAGTGGTTTTCACACTGGGTGTGAACCACGGAGCTAATCCGCAGCCCTATGTGTTGATTTTAAACATGAGTTAATGTTACTGAGAGGTGATAGAGGCCTGAAATCAAAATATTGAGAATGAAAAAGAAGGCACAGATTAGTAGGAAGACAAAATTAGTGATTGTGGTGGGGATCAAGGAAGTGTTGACCGAGTTTAAATCACTCGATGCGAAGTGGTACTACTTCCTGAAATAGGCCGATGCCCCAAGAACAGACTCTCCTTTTTTAGGGAGGTGTGATAGCAGGGCATGAGCAGTGGCAGGGTAGAATCTTACATAGAGCACACACACTCAGTGGATGCCATCTTTTCATTAGTTTTATGGGGAAAGAATAAATGAAAATTGTGAAAGTGAGAGAAAATAGGCTGTTTTCAGAATGCTATGAAATGAAAGAGGCAAGGAGAGAGAGGAACATTGGCTCAAGAAGGTTTTGTTTTTACTTTTGTGGTGCTGGGGATTGAACCCAGGGCCTCTGTACTTAGCTGTAGCCCCAGCCTTTTCATTTTGAGACAGGGTCTTGCTAAGTCACTGAGCTGCCCAGGCTTAACTTGAACTTTCAGTCCTCCCACACCAGCCCCTCATGGTGCTGGAATTACAGGTATGTGCCATCATGCTTGGCTTATTTTAAGATGAAGGACTTGACTATGTATAGATGCTAAAAGAAAGGGCATTAAGCCCACCTCTTATGTTGAAACATGAAGGGATGAGTACATGAAGATAGATAGATGATAGATAGAAATATATATATATATATATATATATGTATATATATATATATATGTATATATACACATATACATTTATGAGTACATACTGATAAGCTTACAGAAATGTTGACACACTTTTCTTCTAGGTAATTCCAAAGTAGTCCTTCCTAAACCGTTACTGGTCTATACCTAAGAGTGTCCAATGCTCAGTTTTTAAGTGGCAGAAGGGAAAACTGGCCAGGTAATTTGATAGTGTCTTTAGTTTTCCTCAGGGAGGGAGTAAGGTCTTTTTAAAACAAAGAAAGTGGTAGGACAGTTAGAATATTGGTTGTATTTTGGAGGATCTGCCAAGTTAGTTGGGAGAAAATAGAATTAGGGAGACACAGAAAGGGATTGCTAAGTAGCCAAAGCCCCAGGTATCATTGGTGTTGCTGCAAATGCACTGACTAATCTGCATTAGCCCATTGTAAGAGCAAAGAAATTAAATATTGAGTTAGCCACAACTGCAAGGAGCAGACAGCAAAAAAATAGTAGTGGTAGTAGTGAGAGTAAAGGGAGTAATAGTACAGAGCAAGTGAAGTGATAGACTATAGGGTCTCTGTCAGAGAAAGTGGGATGGAACTGACCACAGAGAGAAAATAGAATGGTTAAGAGATTGGAGAGATTGAAGAATCAGCTGGAGATTAAAAATAAGAGAACTTGAAGAATAAGGATATGTTTGTTAGGAAATAGGTTGAGTTAGTTTAAGAATTGGAACAGGTCAGCCAGGCGTGGTGGCACACACCTGTAATCCCAGCAATTTGATTTTGTTTTGCTTTTTTTTTTTCTTTTTTTGAGACAGGGTCTCACTATGTAGTTGAGACTGACCTGGAACTCACTATTTATCCCAGGCTGGTCTCGAACTCACAGTGATCCTCCTGCCTCAGCCTCCCAAGTGCTGGGATTACAGGCATGCGCCACCACGCCCGGCCTTCCCAGCAATTTGAAAGACTGAGGTAGGAGGATCACAAGTTCCAGACCAGCCTGGGTAATTTAGCAATAGCGTATATCAAAAAAGTTGGTGCTGAGATATAGCTCAGTGGTAGAACCCTTGTGTAGCATGCATGAGAAACTAGGGTCGATTCCCAGCACATGAAAAGAGAAGAAAAGAGAAAAGAAGAAAGAAGAGAGCGGGAAGATCAAGGCTGTGGCAACTTTGAGGGTAGAGTCTTGGGAGTGGGAAACTAAAACAGAGTGGGGTGAAACTCTGTATATAGAGAAGATCAAAGACTTCCTGTGTGAGCAGAGGCAGGGCATTATGATATTTGTGGAATGTGGTACATGGAACAGTGGCTGGTATGTGACATAAATGTGGGATTGAGGGAGCTTAAATGCTAGGTTTGGAGCTTGGGTTTTAGCTATATAGGCAGAATGACTTGAGAGCACTTTCTTCGGACAATTATCCAGCATAGGCTTGTTGGACGGGTTGGCAAGGGGAGAGAGACTGAGAAGAACATGTCTTACTTCTTCTGGCAGCAATTTTTTTGGGTTCCTTCCGCATGCCCTATCAAGAGATTAAGAATGTCATCCTGGAGGTGAATGAAGCTGTACTGACCGAGTCTATGATCCAGGTAAGGAGCGGGGTTGACCTGCAGGAGCTGGCTGTCCTTCATAGCTACACCCTGGCCTCTGCTCCTCCCTCCTTAGATGAGGAAGAATCTCCTCTAGCCTTGCAGACTTAAAACACTAGCTTCAGAGAAACTGCCATTTCTCTGGTGCTCAGATGATTTCAGCATAGTTCTTAAAAATCCTGCCATCTTATTGGCTGTTCCCCCATGCCGCTGCCCATGTTTCCTTTGAAGTAGTCCTTGGCAGAATGTGGTACTGATAAGAGAGTAAAAGTGACTTAGATGAGTTGTCAGCTCATCCTCCCCTCACCCAGAGAGACCCTTTCTCTCTTTCAGAACCTCATTAAACAGATGCCAGAACCAGAGCAGTTAAAAACGCTGTCTGAACTGAAGGATGAGTATGATGACCTGGCAGAGTCGGAGCAGTTTGGCGTGGTGGTGAGTGGGGCCTGTGACACTCTGCTCTTCTCTGGCTTCTTTGTCCCCTTTGTCTCTAGAGACCAGTCTGGACACTTGCTCTTTGCCACTTGTCTATTTGAACCTGTCTTTCTTTCTCTTAATTAGTACATATTTGTAGTACATAATGATTACATTCTTCGTGGGGAGTTGGCACATATTCTCACACATTTCTTTTTATATCCCCTTCCTCTCCCCTCCCTCCATCTCCTGGTCCCCCAATTGCAAAAAATCTATCTCCTTGTTTCCTCTTATCTTTTATTTTGCTTTTATTTAAATTCTGGGTTTCTCATATAACAAATCATGCGATATTTAAGCTTGTGTGATTTATTTCACGTAACGTGGTCTCAAAGTGCATCCATTTTCCTACAAATGGCTTGGTTTAGACTTCTATATAGGTATAAACTTCTGTCACAAAGTATAACAGACACAGACTTCTATAACAAAGTACTACTCCATTTGTACAAATACTATGCTTTCATCTGGTGATAGAAATTCCATTGACCTTTTTTTCTCTTTCTTCCCCCTGCTCTGAAATTCTAATCCTCAGAGGAGGCTCAAGCCTGTATCTTTTTCTGACTTCTTTCTACTAGCTGTAATGGACCTGCTTGTCTTTCCCACTAGATGGGCACAGTGCCACGTCTGCGACCTCGCCTTAATGCCATCCTCTTCAAGCTACAATTCAGTGAGCAAGTAGAGAATATCAAGCCAGAGATTGTGTCTGTCACTGCCGCTTGTGAGGAGCTGCGCAAGAGCGAGAGCTTCTCCAGCCTCCTAGAAATTACCCTCCTTGTTGGAAACTATATGAATGCCGGCTCCAGGAATGCTGGTGCTTTTGGCTTCAATATCAGCTTCCTCTGTAAGGTGAGGTGTGGAAATAGGGCAGGACAACTGAAGGGAAGGCTCTCGGGCCTCTGTGAGCCCAGTGTGGGCCTGAGGGGCAGGTCAGGACTAATGATTTTCCTCTTGTCCCAAGCTTCGAGATACCAAGTCCACAGATCAGAAGATGACATTGTTGCACTTCTTGGCTGAGTTATGTGAGAATGACTATCCTGATGTCCTCAAGTTTCCAGATGAGCTTGCCCATGTGGAGAAAGCCAGTCGAGGTGAGGCAGGTTGGGGTGAAGAGTGAGGTGTTCTGAGCACCTAAACTTTCAGAAATAAAAAATAAGACACAGTCTAGATTTTTTTCTTGTTGTTTTTGTTATTGTTTTTTGAGACAGGGTCTCACTGTGTAGCCCAGGCTGACCTCAAACTCAGTGATCCTCCTGCCTCAGTCTCCCAAGTACTGGGATTATAGTTGTATGTCCTCAACCATATAGATTTTAAATCATTTTTCATTCAGACTCTGTAAGTAGGAAGAGTTTAGTCATTGTTTTTAAGCCACAGGAGAAGAGATGAAACTAAAAAGAGGTCTCTGTGTCTAGCAAGGGAAGCACTCCTTCCCTTCCTAGAGAGACACAGACGCCAAAAAACAACTGGAAAGTCAGGTGTCTTCAGTCCATGGTTTTTGTGATTCAGAAAAGCACAGGCTGGATTAGTAAACATCAGGTCTGGCTATCCTGGAATTAGGCAAAGCATTCAGTAGAAATAGGACAGATTTCTGCCCTGCATCTATAATTCTATGTGTTTCTTTCCCCTAAAACACTGTTCTCTAAAATAAATGAGACCAAAGTCTCAAGGGATTTGACAGATTGTTTTTAGATTAAATGAAGTCTGTCTTCTGTTCTTAGTGTTATGGAGGCTGGAAGTCCAATTATCAAATAATTATAGTCTTGCTGCAGAAATGAGAACCTAAACTAGTAAATGATTAGAGGCCAGTACATAAAGAATTAAAATAATTAAGTACCAGAATATGTATACAGAATGTAGCTTAGGGGGTCTTGAGGCTAGAATTGCTATTAAGCTCTTGCTGTTTTTGTGTTTCCTGCAGTTTCTGCTGAAAACTTGCAAAAGAACCTAGATCAGATGAAGAAACAGATTTCTGATGTGGAACGTGATATTAAGAATTTTCCTGCAGCCACAGATGAAAAAGACAAGTTTGTTGAAAAAATGACTATATCCTTTCTTGAAAGGAGGGAGTTGAGTTGCTTCTTAGGAAGGGAAGAAAATCTTCCCCTAAGGGAACAACAGAATAGATGTGGTACTGTTGAGTCTATCTCTTCAAACAGTTTTTTTCCATCAAATACATAGTTCTTGAAAGCATTCTTATTGTTGTAGACGAGAAAGCCAGCCATGCAGATAAACTAAAAGCCTTTATCATTTCCCTTCCCTGTCCCCATTGCCATTACACACACTTTATTCTCTCTGGCCTTTTGCAAAAGTAACCACTGCCACTAGACTTCTAATTTATACCTAATAAATTTATTTTAAACAAAAACTATATAAATTTTTGCTCAAAGTGCCTTAGCCATGTTTCCATCGTATATGTGTTGATCAGGGTCTTTTTTAAATTGCTATCTCCTATTCTGTTGCTGTACCAGTTTGTGGTTCACCATTCCCTTCTTTTGTGGAACTGGAGATTGAACCCAAGGCCTCAAGTATATTAGGGAAGTGTTCTACCACTAAGCTATATTCCCCAGACCATTTGTCGATAGATAGATTGATTGATTGATTGATTGATTGTACTGGGGATTGAACTCAGGACCTTGTGTTTGCGAGGCAGGTGCAGCACCACTGAGCTACATCTACAGCCCATCATTCCCCTCTTTTGATACCTACTGCTTCTTTTTTTTTGCTGTAATGCATAATGCTGTGTTAAAGATCATCATGCATTCCTGTGTGCATCTTAGAGTAATTCTCTGGGCAGGGGAAGTGGATCTTACTCCTTTACTCTTTAGCCGCACAGCTTTGTGAAGGATGCACAGGAACAGTATAACAAGCTGCGGATGATGCACTCAAACATGGAGACTCTCTATAAGGATCTAGGCGAGTACTTCCTCTTTGACCCCAAGAAGTTGTCTGTGGAAGAATTCTTCATGGATCTGCACAACTTTAGGAATATGTTTTTGGTGAGCAAGGGCCACTTGCTGACTCTTCATGGGGGTCTTGTTTGTTGGTTGTGGGTATACACATGTTCTCCTTTCTCTTCCTAGCAAGCAGTCAAGGAGAACCAAAAGCGACGGGAGACAGAAGAAAAGATGCGGCGAGCAAAACTAGCCAAGGAGAAGGCAGAGAAAGAGCGGCTGGAGAAGCAGCAGAAGAGAGAGCAACTCATAGACATGAATGCAGGTAAGTAAGTGCAGGAGAAGGCCTGGTGGGTTGGGACAGGAGCACGTGGAAGGCTTCTCTGACTGGAATCTAGAGGCCACAAAGAAGAGCTTGGGTCTGTGCTTAACTCTTGGCAAAAGATTTTTGGCAGCTTTCTGCCTCCAAGATCCTGATGCTGGACCTTAACCCCAGTTCAGTTATGTACATATTCCAATTTTCCACGCTGAGACCTTTTTCTGCCCTTTGCTAGTTTTTGCAGTATATCTCTCCACAGTGATTTTAGTGTCGCTGTCACACATAGTCTTTCCTTCTGCCTGTCCAGAGCTTCCTCTGGCCTGTTCTCATTCTCTCCACTAAATCTTTTGGGTTTTTTTTCATCAGATTCTTTTCCCTACTCTACTGCCCTCTTTTTCTGCTCATTTCACTTAGTACCACATCTCTGGTACCTTAGCACAGTTGCACACACCTACGAGATCATAAATGGATTAAACTTCAGACAGAGTCGGGAGGCTAGCCAGCTTCTTTCTTCAGCAGAATCTCTTTCACTACCAGAAGCATGTCTTTGTTGAAACATGTGGTCCCAATTACATGGCCTCTGTTCTTGTGTCTGCTTCTTTCCCTGCTGTGGATTCCCTGCCCGCTCCACCCCCAACCTTGGGCAGCAGAAACACAGCAGTACAGCATGTTGCTCATGGTACTGAGCTGAACCTTCTGCAAGTGAAGGGGGTCCTCAGGGCTGTTGAGTCTGTTAATAATCAGAATGCTGAGCACCAGCATAACTAAAAAGCAGCAAGGGCTATTCTAATACCTCTTGCTACCAGGGACTTTTCTGGAAAGCAATTCCCTTGCCTTTATATGAACCACAAACTTTTCTCCAATAATGCAATGAAAGGCTACACTGAGTATCCTTCACCTTCTTCCCTGTTCTCCCTGGGCCCAGGATTTTTTATTCCAAGAGGCAGTGGGAGTCAGGGAAGTCCAACTGTCAAATGAGATGAGAACTGCGCCCAGTCAACAGGTGGCGTAGTGGGCCTTGCCCGGTTCCCAGTACCTAGGTCAAGCAAATGAGGTTGGAATATAGGTCAACTGCACTAGTGATATTCAGACAGCAGGTGGCGCTGGGACCAATGAGCCCCAACCTTGGAGCTGGCAGCCGACTGGCTCCTTAGGGTTTCACAGTTTCAGATTTCATTATCCTGAGCTGTTGCCATGGAAACTGAGCCAGGCTGGAACAAGGATTCTGTGTTAACTCTTTATATTCCAGCCAGGCTGCTGCTTTAAGGTACAGAACTGATTTAAGGAAAATGCAGCCACTCGAGGCAGCACTTAAGTGAGATGCTTTTTTTTTTTTTTGTGGTGGTGGTCTTACTGGGGATTAAACCCAGGGCCTTTGGACTGAGCTACATTCCATCCTCCTACCTCCACCCCGTTAAATTTGATACAGTCCCTAAATAGCCCAGGTTTGGCTCCAACTTGCAGTCTTCCTGCCTCAGCCTCCCAGGTCACTGGGTTTACAGATGTATACCACTGCACACAGCTGAAGTGCACTCTTATTTTCTTTTAATTAGTACATATTTGCAGTGTATAATATATACATTCATCCTGGGGAGATGGTACATGTTCAGATAGCATCTTAATTATTGTTACTTGCCCTTCACTTTTCTTCCTCCTTCCATCTTAAAATTGCACTCTTGATCTGTGCTTTTCCTTCTCTCATCCCTGCTCTGAAACCTGAACCAGGCTCTGCATGAGATGTTTATGCAAATTGCAGTAAAACACTTTAGGATGAAGTGGGAGTTGTAGGGTTGCTTATTAATTTTACAATTGCCAGTCAGGGTGTTAGTGCACATCTGTAATTCCAGCAGCTAGAGGGCTGAGGCAGGAGCATTGCCATGAGTTTGAGGCGAGCCTGGGCTGCATAGTGAGTTCAGGGCCAGCCTGAACTACAGAGCGAGACCTTGTCTCTCCAAAACAAAACATACAATTGGCACCTTGGTACTTTCCATGGTCTTGGAGTTGGGTAGTTCTATAATTCTGTGCTAGTCCTGGATGGTGCAAAAAGAATGGCACTATAGGGAGATATCCCAGGGTTTGCACTGAGTAGTAGGCAAGGAAATCTTTTGGTTTTTTTTGGCCGCTTTTAAACAGATACAACTGAATGGGCCTAAAAGACCTGAAGTTGAGCCTTCCTTGTCTGTATCAGCCACTGTACACAAAGCAACAGCTTTGCAATTCATGGAGTTTTACATTTGCTGTGCTAATCTGGCTACACAGTTTCCATCTCTGTCTTTGTTCCTGACAGAGGGTGATGAGACGGGGGTGATGGACAGTCTTCTGGAAGCTCTGCAGTCAGGAGCAGCATTCCGACGGAAGAGAGGACCCCGTCAGGGTAAGTGAACAAATGGAGCCTATCCAGGGAACTAGAGAAGAGGTGAGGCCTTTCTGCTCTGATCCTGCTAGTGTTGACCAGCAAGAAACTTCTACATCCCTGCGCTGAGAGTGTGTTTCCTGTTCCTCTTCCCACATTAGGAAGTACTGCCTTGGAAAACCAGAGTTTGAGGGACTAACAACACATCAATTATATTTGACTCTTCTTACTTTTTTCTCCCATTCTCAAAGCAGAAATTTGGAACAAGGGAACCATGTTGCAAGACATGGGATTTGGAATGGGCATTTGTGTATGTAAAAAATAATTGTCCTAAACACACATCTGTACTATTAGATATAGATTGAAAACTAAGAGTCCTTATTCGCAGTTTCATAAGCAGAAGACACGGAGAACATGAGGTGTCACTGCCCTCAGATTAAGAATAGAGAGAGGGATCCCAGCTTAAGGGTTGCATTGTGCTGGAGCATTGCCTTTTCTTGTGTGCACTTACCTCCATTTTCCTTGCCCTCCCCAAACTCCTTACAACAACCTTTCCTAATTTGCAGAAGATTTAAGTGCATTACACTGAGCCAGAGCCTTTAAAAAGAATCTTAGTGCTAGAAGGACAAATGATCCAGTTAGTAGAATGGAGAAGGATTGATGAATGAATTTCCCTGGAGGGAAGCGTGCAGTGACCAAGAGACTGTTCACAAGAAAGTGTAGCCGACATTGCTGTCATCGGGAATTGACATGTACCATCATGTCTAGGGAGCCCTTTGGGGCTAGACTAGAAATGGCTTTCCCAAGTAGAAGGGTGAGACATCATTCAAAGGTTTCTGCTTCTGAGGGAGTTATGACATCCTTAAGTACAGGCTTTCTAATGGGAAGAAGAGGTAGGTGTGAAGGGTGTAACTCTCTGGGTTAGAGCATTTAGTCTTATTGGTAGGCACCTGGGTAAAATACAGCTAATAATACTACTTTGTATTTGGTCTTAGAGGTTCTCACAGCGTTGTTTGCTACCTACCATATAAGGTTGTGATTTTACAATTCAGTATTAGTTCTGACAAAAATACCTTCCATTTCACTTACTGTCTTCCACACCCTCCTCAGATAAGCACCAGCCTACATCAGACTGATGGGGAATTCCCTTTTAAGCCTCTTCCTGTGGAACTATGCTAGAATCCCAGATGCTTCCTGTACATAGGCAGCCAGACAGCAGTGACTTCCCTCTGCTGGGGAGGCCCCAGTCTCTACTTCTTTCCAAGTAGCAAAACAGGACTTAAAGGCACAGGAAGAGGGATTTTGTCAGAACCTAATGTTTTAGCAGAAAACCCAGTAATCAAAGTACTGTCTCCCAGTGCAGAGGGAGTAAGAGACTTACTGTTAGGAGATATTGAAATGAAAGGAAGATGAAAACAAGAATTACATACTTTTAAATAGCTCTACCTTATCTTTCTTGGCTCTGGGTTTGCTAGACACACCTGAATATATCTGGAAGAACCTATCGGGAAACATTTCTAGTCACTCTGTCACACCTTTTAGACTTTGGTACTGTCACATCATGCAAACTTAAACAGAAGGAAGGGGGAAAAAAAAATAGAAGAAAGGTTAGGCATCAAAGTAGTGAACAAAGGCTATAGAACTAAAGTGAGATCAAAAGACCCAGAGTCAGATCAGCATCCGTGTGGCATTGTCATGTTACCTTGGACCAATCACTTCATGTTTCTGAGACGTAGTTTCTTTATATATAAAGTGAGAATACATCTAGAAGGGCCTCTTAAGATCCCTTAATAGTGTTTCTATTTTATAATCCTATAGAGATTACAAAGGATTACAAAGAGTAGCGAGAGATTGGAGCTAGAAGGATCCATACTCAAAATACAAAGGCTTCAGGGATTTCAGGTTCTCTCTGGGGCTGCTGGACTCCGCTCTTCTATCCCTTGCCTGGCTGTCAGTGACTGTTCCTCCTGGATGATTGCTAAGAGCTAAAGAAACAGTACTGTCAAACATATCTGCCTCATAGTCCTCCTCATTCCTAACAGGGCAGCTGCCCCTATTCAGACACTAGCCTTTTCCTTAGAATTTAACGGAATGTTCAGATCTTCCGGTCTTTTGAGACAAGAGGGAATGACCAGTATACAAAGACCCATTGAGGAGTTAGAAGAGGAGAGTTACTATCAGGGCTGGTTCATTAAAAGCAACATGTAAACTGCTGTGACCTGCTGAGTGTGGCAGAACAATGGCTTGAGTGTCAGGGAGAAGAATCCATGTGATTGTATTATAGCTACTATTTCAGGCCCAGGATTGAGTCAGCTTGTGGTTTTAATGACTCAACTTTATCTCCATGGCTGAATTATAGCCTCTTTTATACACAGGCCATTTGCTCATGGAGATACAAATCGAGAGAAAAAAAGAAATTATCTCTCTCTCTCTCTCTCTCT